CCAATTAAAATGCCTTCCCTTAAGGCTTCATTAAAGGGCAGTCAAAGTTTCAGCTCACAGGTGCCTCTGAGAAACCGAACTGGGACCTCAGCTGAACAGGATTCTCACCCAGGGCATGTTCTGGCCAGCTGGGGAGGGACCACCCACTCCCCGCACAATGTCCTGAACCAGCAGCTGGACCTGGAGGGGCCACCCGTGGTTTACTTACATTTTACAGGAAATCCTGGTCATGCTGCCACCGAACCGAGGCATTCTTTCCCATCCATGTTGTCCTCCTGTCCCATTTTTCAGGCCTGGTTTGTGTGATTTAAAACAACAAAGAACAAAACGTTGTTTGCTTTCCTGTTAAAAATTCAAATGCAACATGGCATTATAGCTCAGGAGTATCGAGGTCAGCTTCCTCCTTACGCATCTGTCACCTTTTATTGCTTCTTATTCAACACAGCCTGGGGATAACTAGGAAACAATCTCCCCATTGGCCCCTTAGTTAGAGGAAGCCGGGCATCAAAGCCCCCACCCACCCCCACACCCACCCCATACAGGGACCGGCGACTTGGCAATAAAGATGGCATTAAGTGCCTATTTGCCATCAAGACTGCTGCTGTGATGAAGCCATTCAAGGGGCCCCATGGCTGCAGGGAGGAAGCTCCTAATTAACATAGCAGGGTGTTCTGTTCTCGGCAAAGCCGATATTTGATGGGTTCTGAAAGCAGAGTCAAGGCGATTCAAGGATTTAGACTAACCAGGTCCAAACAGAGAGAAGGGACCAAGAAACGGTCCGATGCAAACACAGGCCTCATGAATTAATCCCATTCGAGAGGAGATTCGATGCAGAGTATAAAAATCCGATGCGATCCGGAGTCTAACCGCGGGGGAATCCACTGGAGCCTGGGGCAGACAGTCAAGGCGGAGAGCAGCACTCGGCCTGGTCTCATCCGGGCATATTCCACTCGAGGGACAAAGCCTTCTCATTTAAGTAAGAAATACATACCAGGAAAGGCTTTGCTGCAACTGGACTAAGCAACCCACCCTTCGTTACTACACCTTGACAAGTCATATAACTGAAGTTGTGCGTTAAGTGCTGTTGTGTGTCGGTGGAACAACACCTTCTCAGCCGAAGGCCTTCTGTTGAGAACGTGAGATGCATCAGCACAAGGATCTCAGGGTCTGAAGAGCTTGACTGCCGGAAGTAGGGGCAACCCTGAGAGGCTGTTCGGTGACCTGGAAGGGGAAGCCTGGCTCTCGCGTCCCCTGCCCCTCCTAGGTGGGCCCCCCACGTACCTCCGAGCCGGGACAGGCCGCCCAGGGAACACCAAGGCGGAGACAGCCCAGTTTGTGTCACCTCTGTCTGGGAAGGGGAATCTGGGCGGATGGGAGGAGGCCTTGGATGAAGAAAGGAAACACACAGCTGCTGGGTTGCTGGTAACAGAGCCAACATTTATATTTTTAAAAAAAATCAAAAGAGCCACACAGGATCAGACCAGGGCCTCTCGAGTCCGCCACCGTTCTGTCCCCACTGGGGGAGACCCGTGGCCTCTGCTCAAAGCCCACCCGCGCGGCAGGAGGGCAATGGCCGCCCTCCATCATGGGACTCCTTCGGCAGAGCCACACGGTCTCTGATACAGGAGGGGGATCTATCGCTACCCTGACTAGGAGCCACCGGCTCTTTCAGCCTCCCTGAATTTGCTTCCTCCCTTCCTACGGCCATCTGCCTGAGTGAGTTCGTCCAGCCACAATTTTGTGGCTGAGAATTCCACAACTGAAAATCCTCCCCGTGGACAACAGCCACAGCAAGGGACCTTTTCTCCACCACCACATCCAAGTAACGGGGCCAGATCTGGCTGGGTATGGGCATGCTCTTACTGAAAGCAAAGCAGAAGTTCTCCTCCAGGCTTTGCCTTCTGCCTCAGGAAGAGGAAGCCTGGAAGTCTGCCTGTGAAGCAGAAGCAGGAGAACCCACACCGCCGGTTCTGGAGACACTCGCAAGAACCTCGATGCTTTCAGGGTCTGGATTCCACCCCCACCCCACCTCCATCCCTCCACCTCCACCACCGTCCATACACTCACTCGGCTTGGCAGATCCGCCAGGGTGCTGGGGGTCAGCTTCGCATCCATGTACACACATAATATCCTGGGAAACTGACCCACCCTCTCCCTGGCTGCTCAGAGGCCAAGATCTTTGCAATGGGGAAGAGCGACAGGGCGCTGGAGGGAAGGTATCAGGTGAGCGCAGGGCCGGCGGGGGCCTTTCGGCGGCCCCATTTCATCCGGGTCCCCCTGGGATTTGGCCAGGGCCGCTCTGCCCAAGACATTCTACCTGGAAACCCAAGGCAACTTTCAGCCAGAGAGAGAGAGAGAGAGATGGAGACAGGAGGAAGTGCCAACATCCGGAAGCCATTCAAAGCAGGTGCCTGTTTGGGAATGAAAGGCTGAGGGCTGCATGGGGGGGGGGAGGGCAGTGTGTGGCTGAGAGACAACAGATGTCACACCTGGCTCTTTCTCCCCTCGGCGTCTTTCGCACCTGTTCTTCCGCTGGGTGCTTTTTGCCAATCTTCCCCATTGTGCAGGATTTTTTTCCTCTTGGGCTGCAGCTGGGCAATGGTTTCTGTGCCCAAGCAGGACCCGTGGTCAGGGACAGCGAGGGGTGCCTAAGGGGAACCCCTCCTGAACCCAGATCCAGCTCTCCTCTTCTAGCCCTCCATGATGATTTGCTCGCTTCCCAATGTTTGCAGGGGGTCCAACCCCCCCCCCCCCAATTCTAAAAGGCTGAACTCTGTCTCTTAAAGCTCACTTCCCTGGCAGGAGGAGAGGCTTCCTCCCTCCGTGGCCTTTACCCTTTTCACCTTAGCTCTGCCCATCCCTCACCTGAACAGTCTGGCCTTCCCCTCGCCCTTCCTCTGCAGAAAACCTGGTGTTTTTCCCTCCAACAGAGCGCCGCCCAGATAGGTTGGACTCCAGCACCCATCATCCCCAGCAATTGTTCCTAGCTCACCTCTTCATCTTCCTGCTGCGATCGCCTGTGCACATCAGGGCAGTTTGCGCCACGTCGCTTCTCAGACTCTTCCCTTCCTTTTTCGCTTAAGGAGAAGTGATCAGAGTTTGGAAAAGTTACTTTTTGGAGGCACTGATCGTTGGCCGTGGAGGGGGGGACTTCTAGCAGGTGCAAACCAAAAAACCAAGGCATGCTTTTTTTCCATGCTCTGTTAGGATCCGGCTCACTGGGCTTCCAGAGAGAAAGGAGCCCAAAGTGTGTGTGTGTGTGGGGGAGAGGATCCACCTGGCCTGCTTTGGGTCTTGTCACAAAACACACTTTCTCCTCTCCTTCCTCTTCTTCTGCCCTCCACTTACAGAATAAAACAACCCTCCAAAAATAGTTTTTAAAACCCAGCCTTTTCTGCTGAAGCAGCCCAACTCTGTCAAGACCGATACCCATCTGAAGTCCTCAAACGCAAATGGATGAGAGGAGGCCAATTGGTTACCACTGGTTTGCACTGCAGGCAAAGAAAGAGAGAGAGAGAGAGAGAGAGAGAGAGAGAGAAGGGAAAGGCTTTTGCTGAGGTCAGCAGCTCAGTCGGAAAGCAACAAAACATTGCTTGTTCCTCCTCCCTCCCTCTGGACGCCTCCCAGCCGAGGCCGGGCCTTTGAGAAAGGGCCCCTCTCTTGCCGCTCGGCTCGGCTCCCCTCCCGGGGTGGGGGCTTCCCTTGGTTCTCCTTTTGACACCCATCGGTGTGAGGCGGAGGGCAGGACGGACACCAACCCAGGGCTCTCCGGCTCTGGCCTTGGGAGCCCCCCCCCCCCCCTGGGCTCATCCCACAAGGACCCACAAGGAGAGGAAGG